ATCGAAATGTGTCAAGTCTAAATGTTTGTCAAATATCTACTATTTAGGCCTATCTCTTGCAGTGAGAGGACCCCACGATATCTAAGAAATGCGCTAGCCTTAATGTGTGAATTAAAAGCTCTGTTTGATTTCTTGCTTGTATAAATGAAGAAACAGACTCCCTTTTCTTTTTCTTTTTCTTTTTCTTTTTCTTTTTCTTTCTTCTTATTTTTTCTTTTACTTCATTATTACCAAGAAAAGAAAAAGAAAGTTGGTTTGTGTCGACCGAAACTGGCAGAACCACCGTACAATCTAAGATAAAAAGGAAACATATCAACTACAGAAAACCCAACTGAATATGCTCTGGTCATAGCCGACAACCCTGGGTGATCAAGGGAGAAAGACGATTCCAGGAATAATGAACATGTGGCCAGGATGGCCCAAGAAATGGAGTCTCTAAGGGAGGAAGTACAACATATCAGCCACCTCGTTTTCCTTCTTTGGATTTAAATCCAGAAGAAGATCCATAAGAAGAAGAGGAGATGGGAAACGACACCGGGGATGGTCATTAGAGTTGGTTGATTTCCCCTTCTTTCCCTCTTTGTACCTTTATTCCCCTTATACCAGTCCAAATTATCAATGAAAACAAACTTGCTTCGGATCGAAATGTGTCAAGTCTAAATGTTTATCAAATATTTACTATTTAGGCCTACCTCCGGTAATGAGAGTACCCCACGATATCTAAGAAATGCGCTAGCCTTAATGCGTGAATTAAATACTCTGTGTGATTTCCTGCTTATATAAATGAAGAAACAGAGTCCCATTTCTTTTTCTTTTTCTTTCTTCTTATTTTTTCTGTTGCTTCATTATTACCCCCAAAATAAAAAGAAAGTTGGTTTGTGTCGATTGAAATTGGCAGAACCACCGTACAATCTATGATCAAAAGGAAACATGTCAGCTACAGAAAACTCGACTGAACATGCTCTGGTCATAGCCGACAACCCTGGGTGATCAAGGGAGAAGGACGATACCAGGAATAATGAATAAGTGGCCAGGATGGCCCAAGAAATGGCGTCCCTAAGAGTGGAAGTACAACATATCAACCACCTTGTTTTCCTTCTTTGGATTAAAATCCGGAAGAAGATCCATAAGAAGAAGTAGGAGATGGGAAACGACTCCAGGGATGGTTAATAAAGTTGGTTTATTTCCCCTTCTTTCCCACTTTGTACCCTTATTCCCCTTATATCAGTCCAAATTATCAATGAAAACAAACTTGCTTCGGATCGAAATGTGTCAAGTCTAAATGTTTGTCAAATATCTACTATTTAGGCCTACCTCCAGCAATGAGAGGACCCCACGATATCAAATAAATATGCTAGCCTTAATGCGTGAATTAAATTCTCTGTGTGATTTCCTGCTTATATAAATGAAGAAACAGACTCCCATTTCTTTTTCTTTTTCTTTCTTCTTATTTTTTCTGTTGCTTCATTATTACCCCCAAAATAAAAAGAAAGTTGGTTTGTGTCGACCGAAACTGGCAGAACCATCGTACAATCTATGATCAAAAGAAAACATATCAGCTACAGAAAACCCGACTGAATATGCTCTGGTCATAGCCGACAACCGTGGGTGATCAAGGGAGAAGGACGATACCAGGAATAATGAACACGTGGCCAGGATGGCCTAAGAAATGGCGTCCCTAAGAGAGGAAGTACAACATATCAACCACCTTGTTTTCCTTCTTTGGATTAGAATCTGGAAGAAGATCCATAAGAAGAAGTAGGAGATGGGAAACGACTCCAGGGATGGTTAATAGAGTTGGTTTATTTCCCCTTCTTTACCGCTTTGTACCCTTATTCCCCTTATATCAGTCCAAATTATTAATGAAAACAAACTTGCTTCGGATCGAAATGTGTCAAGTCTAAATGTTTGTCAAATATCTACTATTTAATCCTACCTCCGGCAATGAGAGGACCCCACGATATCTAAGAAATGCGCTAGCCTTAATGCGTGAATTAAATGCTCTGTGTGATTTCCTGCTTATATAAATGAAGAAACAGACTCCCATTTCTTTTTCTTTTTCTTTCTTCTTATTTTTTTTGTTGCTTCATTATTACCCCCAAAATAAAAAGAAAGTTGGTTTATGTCGACCGAAACTGGCAGAACCACCGTACAATCTAAGATCAAAAGGAAACATATCAGCTAGAGAAAACCCGACTAAACATGCTCTGGTCATAGCCGACAATCCTGGGTTATCAAGGGAGGAGGATGATACCAGGAATAATGAACACGTGGCCAGGATGGCCCATGAAATGGCCGGATACACNATGCTAAAAGTAAAAATAAGATCAGGGGAGGGATAGAGAGTAAAGAAAACTCCCTATGTGGTCTATGTCTGCATGGAATCAGGCTTACTAATGGGGACCTCGTACTGCATAGGATCATCAACTCCCTCTGGGTCCTCCAACGGTATCTCCAGGTCCTCTGACTGGGGCACCACAAATCCTCTCACCGGCTCTGTGTCAGCCTCCTGCTCTGATGCCTGTGTTATCTGTGCTGCAGGGGCAGTCTCCTCTATAAGCAGGTCCAGTGGAATATCTCCGGTAGAAGTGAACTTCTCTACCTCCTTCTTCAGCAGCTCTACTGACTCTTTTGAAGCTTGAGTCTTCTTCATCTTTTTAACGTGCTTTCCCAGCTCTATGATCATCTTCCCATGAGTATCTAATGTCTCCAGGATTTTCTTTTGGTTGTCCAGGAGCTTATTCTGGTTTTCCAGAAGCTCCTTCAATGAATCCTCCACTGATGGAGGTACCTGAAGCTGTGCTGGGGCTGCCTGTGCTGCGACTGCTTTGGATAAGACAGACAGCTTTAATGTAGCTGCCTGCAACTAGTTGTTGACACTAGATAGCGTCTGAGAGACCCGCAGTGAAGTTTGAGGATATGCAGAAGATGAGGGAACAGATAATGGGGCTGTGACAGATGGCCCGGATGAGGGAGGTGGCATAGCAGCCGAAGAACCCTCCGCTGTGGAAGGCTCGGAACCAGTGGCCACTACCCTTGGCTCTTCAGACTGGCCAGTGGAGGTAGTGGCTTTGCCTTTGGACTTTGGGTTGTCTTCTCCCTGAAGGATGTACCAAGAGAAGGGCCTTTTCGGCTTCACCTTTGTGTCAAAGTGTCTCCCCTCAACCCCATGGTCCTTTAGGTACATAGTGATAAAATTGGGGTAAGGGTAGGAACTTTCCTCCTTCCCGGTTGCCTTAGATATGTTCTGGGCCATGAGGTTCACCACTTTTATTGGGTACCCCGCCATGATGGACGCTATGAGGATCGCCCGGGAGAGTGGAATGTCACTGTCATGCTGGCACGGATCAAGGCGGCTACAGATGATGGTGCACCACCCTTTGGCTTTAAAGCTAAGGGTGTTTCTGGCAATTGAGACTCCCGGTGTAAGCCAAGCCAGTGTTGTCCCAGGGATGGCTATCACCTCTGCAATCCATAGACGGGCTACCTCATTTAATGCCACCTTCTCCAAGTATAGGGATTCGTCCACAAATTTGCTTCTGGGAACTTGCTAGTGAAGCATTTCCACCCCACTCTTTCATCAAATTGTCTCTTCACGTTCGGGTTGTGAGGGAGAAGGTCTCTTTCTATGAAATGTCGCTCAAGGGTGAGCGGCCTTTGTTGCCACCATTCCCAAAATTTGTGGTAGGCCTTCTCACTCACGAACCTATCTTGCCACACTGCTGGCTTACTTGATCTAATCAAACCTCCAACCCGGGTATCACCACCTCTCCCATCATCCGGGACATCCTCTTTATCATCAATATTAATTGGAGCCGCTGTTGAGGCCGGAGTTGCAGCAGGTAGGGCAGGTGGTGTGAAAGTCTCACTATCTCCTCCTGAGCCATCAGACGACCAAGACTAGGAGGTAGATTCATTAACGAGGCGGTAGGGCTGTGATTGAGCCACTTGTTGGGGTTGTGTAGCTTCCCCTTCAGAAATCTCCCGGGAGAGGACATATTCACTAGTCTCAGAAGAGTCGGGAGTGGGTCTTCGGAGGGTTTGCTTCTTGCCAATGACCCTTTTAGGTGCTAAGGGTGCAGACTGTTTCCCTCTGCCCTGACCTCGAGAGGATTCTCCCCTCCCATGTGATTTCTCAGGACCTCTACGAGATCGCACCATTATCTGCATACACAATCAGTGAAAGCTCATTAGTATTGTGGTTCAATAAATCAGCAAAGAAAAGCCGATGAAATGATCACATTGTTTCTCAAAGCAGGGGTCCGCTTACAGCATAAAAAAGAGCGCAGCCGCAGAAGGGTCAATGCGGTCCGCGTAAAAAGGAGTGCGGCCGCGAAAGAGTTGATACCAGACTACCAACTCTCTGAACATTGGTTTTCGCTGACAGCAAAATAATGGGCGCGGCCGCGAAATAACAGACGTGGACCGCGTAAGAATGAATGCGGCCGCAGAATCAATTTGTTAATTCTCTGAAGCTCATGAACGCAGTCCGCAAAATTATGGACGCAACCGCGTAAAGTCAATCGTTGACCACCGAAAAATCACCGCGTCCGCGAACATATAAGCCTACCCAGTTCGCACAAAAGCATGAACGCGGACCGCGTAATTTTGAACCACCACTACAAGAAAATAGGTCTTTAGCAAGGGAATTATGGTCGTTAAAAGTACTGATCCGGTCTCTATTAACCAATAACGTCCGTAAAACATTTGGTCGCACCGGTCGTTGATGCCCCCGACATTAAAAGTTTACGATCGAATTTCGATCTGGACGTTGAAGAGTCTTTAGCGACGATATAAAATCCGGTCATTATGCCTCATTTTAACGACCAAATTTTCCTTCGTTAATTGTTAATCTGGTATATAAAACCCTTTTATTACTACAACAAATCCCTACGTTAAAAGTGATGTTAGCAATGAAGTTTTTCATGGACTAATTGTCACAATCTTGCATGAACAGCCGAAATTACAACCAATTCATTGAATTTTAAATACATCCAAAATATATAAAACAATTAATAATCATAAAATTTTATGGTCAATTACAAATATAGAAGCATAACAATCTTCCAATAAATGCCTAATAAAGAGATAGAATTGTGGCATGTACAAATGGGAACATTTCTAAACAAATACTAATACAACAGTAGCTTTCTCTAATTCTTCAACTTGTTCTTTTAACATTTCAATTGCTTATACTTGCTCAGCACTTACTCCCAAGACGAGTTCTTCAGACATAATTCATGATCTGTAAAAAGAACAATATAAAAAAAATTAATAAAAGGACTTCAAATTCTTGAAAAGCATATAGACACCCACATGTATCCATATTAGGAACAAAGGTACAATAAGCCTATTGTATAGCATCAACTTGGCGAGATAATAAAGTGAAAAAGCTACACCATGAATAAGTTTGTTTGTACCTTTAGATCTTAGACAAGACATATGTAATTTAGCTCAACTTCTATGAAAGTAACTATAGATTGGATGTAATGGAAAGTAGCCAAATAATCCACACTTGCAAATAACCTTCTTTATAGAGAAAGCCAAAACCAAAGTACTTTACAATGCCAGTTTCACCAGTCACAAAGATAAAAGACACGGGATGTGAACATAAGAAAAACTACCATTTCTATCACTTATCTAAGGATATTCTAGTTCCAAAGTAACAAACATTAAAACAAATTAGTAATTGGTAGAAACACTACGGAGTTACCAGTGATGTTAGTTCGGTTTAGGAGGAAACCAGGAAGATGCAGAAGCCTCTTAAGATTTGAGGGCAAACAATGGGGAGAAATGAAAAAGATAATATCTCAAGGTTTGATGTCAGTTTCATAATAAGCAGCAGTTGGTATATTTCCTAGTGCAGCTTCCTTGTAGGCTGAAAAAGGATTCAAATAGGTTGTAAATCATTGGCAACTAAAAAGGGAGACAGTTATAAATACCTTGGAAATAACTAAATAAGCATCAACTTGGTGATCAGTACTATGAGGAGAATGAGGAGACGTGGCTTAAGTGCACCACAATTTCCATACATCTTCACAAGTTCTTAAGAAACAAAATGTGCATATGATATATCTTTCTTCAGAATCTGACCATGTATTTCTTTACCAAGTTTCACCTAGATTCCTCTTACACCCATCAATCTGCAGTAAATTAATTTTAGAAAGATATTTACCGGTGTTGGGCAAAATAGGAAAATCAATGATGCTATAACAAGCTTTCTCTACGAGCCTGTGTGAAAGGTCAATCTGTCTTTGCCGATAAGAAATCATTGATCGGAATATTCAGTAAAGGTAGTTGAGAATTTCCTAGCCAAAATGCTTCAGTAAATTGGGGGCGGAGGGGCACAAATCACAGCAACATCAGCAGGTTTCACAATGAAAGAACCTCAAGATTAAGTAACAATTTGAAAAGGGGATGAAGGAAAATAGAGATCTTGTTCAACTTAAAGGGTTCAATATTCTGATCATTACAACTTCAATATAGATTATAAATATGCATTCGATTTACCACATTATTTAACTCCGAGAAAATTGAAATTTCNGAGAAAATTGAGATTTTACCTTTATGACAAGCTTATCAAGCGTGTTATTCAAATTAAGTGGGTATGTACTGGATAAGAATTCCTCTTCACTTAAAATGGAAAGAATCCGCAATGCAAGCTATGTAGTTATGAGCTCCCTCCCGTGCTGCCCAAAACTCTGGAATACAAGCAATTTAACAGTCAAAAATACCAGCAATGACCAATCTGAATTTTCTAGCTCTAAAGACTAAACCAAAGTCTTTTGTAGAAAATACACTAGAAAGTAGAAACCATCTATTTCCCCTCTCTTCTTTTTCCTCACAAGGATACCATCTTTACAAGGAAATTGTCTTAAGCAGTGTCCAGGAGAGATATTATACCATATATTTTCATTTTACTAAACATGACGAAGTAAATAATGGATCAGAGAAAGTAAACTTACAATAAGGATTCTGAGCTTTGACTTGTCAACGTAGTCTTTACTATTCTGGCAATAAGTAACTACAGTCGTCTATGCACGATACCCTCTGTTTTGACTAGTAAATGTCTCGATCTGCATAAACAAGAATGAAGATGTGATGTTTAGAGGTGATGCATTTTAGTTTTCCAAGAAAAAAGTTAGAAAATATAGTGGATAGGGGAGAATCTACAGAGAGCTTGCTTGGGTGTCTATGGACCAATGTCTCAATCTCTTCCAACAAAGCTCCCCTAGAGATATCATTAGCCGATGTCAAAAACCCAATGTATATTAGTACAAATTAGAAACAGAGCAGTGCAAAAGAGTGAATCACCAATCACCTCACTTCCCACCCCCCAGAAAAAATTTAAACTAAAACTAGAGTAGCAAAAATGTAGAGGAAGAGGGGGCAACCCCGGCATAATTGGTAGTGCAACTGGCATGTTAACTGAAAGGTCACAACTTCGATTCCCCTCGTTGGAACTACCTTTGCCTTCTAGGTCTGAGCTTGTCAACTTGAGCTACAACCTCCTACACTACCTTCCTGTCGAGTAAAATAAAATATCAAGCAAAACAAAAAGACGGAGAAATGCGAACCCTCAATCTCAAGTAAGTTAGAATCGGTTGTATGAGTCCTCTATATCCATTAACACTTCTATTCAGGTCCATTTTATTCAAGCTACTGATGATTAATGGCCGGTAATGCTTGCAATTATCAAATGATTTAGCGGCAATACCGTTATGGCCACTATATAATTGCCGGTAAAAGTGTTTTTTGTAGTAACAATAAACAAGGGATATCACTTTGGAATTTGGATCAATGTTTGTTCACATTTTTTCAAGTTCCGGCAATTCTTTATTTCAGAAGTAATTTGCAGGTGTTACTCAGACAAGTGTTCCTTGTCTATCACAAAACTTACAAATCTTCAAAACACTACAACTATGAATAAACAGTTTCTCTTTGCAAGCTAAAAAATATTTTTTTCTAAAACTTTCCCCCAAAGTTGCTCAAACAGTTCCCAAAGATCAAATTTAAACAAAATTTAGAACACCAAAACTTTCAATTTGGGTCACAGCTTCATTATTAATATACATAACCAATCTAATCGAAAATACTTTTTTTCACTCTTCTCCTCTTCGACGTATTAACTGAATTTAAGAGAAACCAAAAGATTCAAGCTTTCACGATCCCTAATCATCATAGAATTAATAAGTTCAAAATTTAAAAATAATTGAAGCAATAAAGACCAATCCCTAACATGTCAAACCCAATCCTAAAAAAAGGGCAAAATCAACTCAGAAAAACGAAAATTTCAGAGGAAAAAAAAAAGAAATATAAAACTATTGAAGAATTACTTGTAACGATCAAGTTCAAGGGAATATTGATGGCTTGAAAGGGATATCGAGGGGGTTCTTCTCATCCCCAGAAAAAGGGAGATCGAGGGGGGTAAGTTTTCTCTTTTTTTAATTCTTCTCCTGGGTTGGGCAGGTGGAGGAATAAAGTGCGAAAATGCACGAGTCTTTTTTTCTTTTCCTTTTTTGTTTTAATGTGTTTAGCTTTTAGCGGCCGAATTCTATGCTTTTAAATACCAAAATATACCCCTTCGTTACTATTGCGCTAAAAAGTGGAATTAACAACCGAAAAAAATTCTGTTTGTTGCAACTATAATTATAACGTCTGGATTCATTTGCCTTCGTTAAGAAGTGGTCGTTAAAAGCCATATTTCTTGTAGTGCGCGGTCCGCAAAATTCAAATCATACTGGCACTGATGAATTATTTAAGACTTAGGGTTTTACTTAGTGCAAACTTGTAGGCAATTAACAGTCATAGTGAACAACCATATCCCCCATTAGACATTAAACATTATCCACATGCAATTTTAGCATCAATCAAGCATCATTTTGAAATCATGACATGTGTTAAACCCTAAAAGAGAAAAAGTAAAACTAGAAGAAAAGAAAATCAAAAGATGAAATTAATATAAAGATTTGAGCATACCAAATGTGGATTTGTAGTAGGAAATTGCTTCTTGATTAATGAGATATGAAATTGAAAGTGTAAGAAGGGGAATATGAACAGTGGTCTATTTTGGTGAGAGTGTGAGGTTCAAAAAGTGTATAAGTCCTAAGGATTTCCTATTTATACCAACCCCAGAGGTCCCACCGACTTACCTGAGCGCGGTCCGCGGAATTCCACCGCGGTCCACGCTTTTTACCTTTCGAAGAGCCTTTTCAAAAACAGGTCCGTTGAGAGCGGATTAACGGGCGCGGTCGCGTAAGATCAATGCGGACCGCAAAATTACGCACGCAGATGCGAATACAAATTTAGAGAGTTGATATTCTGAACTTTTCAAGTCCGCGTCCGCTGACAATTTGCGCCCCCGCAAAAAGCCCTCGCTGACCGCGAAATTTTGAGCGCGGTCCGCGTAATTCCCCACACTTAGGGAAATTTTTCCAGCAACAGTCCTGTACTGCATAAACAATTCCTACACAAAGCTCACAACCAGTTAGTTCAAAATAAAGCATGATCTATGAAGAAAATCAAAAAAGAAAGAAAAACACATGGGTTGCCTCCCAAGAAGCGGCTGATTTAATGTCGCGGCATGACGCATGTTACAAACATCATTGGAAATAGATCAAGGCAACCACATGGCTGTCATCAAACATGCCGAGGTAATGCTTCACTCGGTGCCCATTAACTCTGAAGATTTCACCATTTTATTTTTAAAGTCAAGAGCACCAAACGGAGTCACGTGCACCACCTCAAAAGGGCCACTCCATTTTGACTTGAGCTTTCCCGGAAACAGTCGTAACCGAGAGTTGAATAGAAGAACCAAGTCACCCTCTTTGAATTCTTTATTTCGGACATATTTGTCATGTAAGTACTTCATCTTGTCCTTATACAAGGACGAGCTGGAATAGGCATGAAACCGGAATTCATCAAGTTCATTGAGTTGCTCTACCCGGAGATTGGCTGCTACATCCCATTCAAGGTTTAACTTCTTGAGCTCCCACATGGCCTTGTGCTCTAACTCAACCGGAAGATGGCATACTTTCCCAAATACCAATCGGTATGGAGACATACCAATTAGAGTCTTATATGCGGTTCTATAAGCCCACAAAGCATCGTCAAGTTTCCTTGACCAATCCGTCTGGATTGCATTGACAGTTTTTGATAATATGCTCTTTATCTCCCTGTTGGAGACCTCAACTTGTCTACTAGCCTGGGGATGATAAGGGGTTGACACCTTATGATTGACACCATACTTGGAAAATAAAGTGTCGAAGGCCTTGTTGCAGAAATGAGAACCCCCATCACTAATGATCGCCCTAGGAGTGCCAAACCTTATGAAAATATTTTTCTTTAAGAACGCCACCACACTCCGTGCCTCATTGTTGGGCAAAGCTACAGCTTCATCCCACTTGGAAACATAATCAACAGCAACCAGAATGTAAGTGTTACCGCACGAACTCACAAAAGGCCCCATGAAGTCTATGCCCCACACGTCAAAAATATCGATCTCAAGAATAGTAGTGAGAGGCATTTCATCCTTCTTGGAAATTCCACCAGCTCTTTGGCATTCATCACACCTCTTAACAAGCTCACTTGCATCTTTATACAGGGTAGGCCAATAAAATCCACAGCTACGAACCTTTGAAGCAGTTATCGCCCCACCATGATGACCACCGTAAGGTGAGGAATGGCAAGCATCAAGAATATTCATTTGCTCCTCTTCCGGGACACATCTCCGGATCACACCATCATTGCAAATCTTGAAAAGATAGGGCTCGTCCCAATAATAATCCAAGCTATCCCATTTGAGTTTCTTCCTTTGGTTAGAAGAGAGCTCACTCGGGACAATGCCGGTCACAAAAAAGTTAGCCACATCGGCGAACCAAGGCATACTATTCAAAGACACGGAGAGGAGTTGTTCATCCGGGAATGAATCATTAATTTTGAGGCCATCGTGAGGCCTCCCCTCCTCTTCTAAGCGGGACAAGTGGTCCGCCACTTGATTATCACTTCCTTTTCTGTCAATGATTTCAAGGTCAAACTCTTGAAGTAGAAGAACCCATCTCATCAACCTAGCCTTCGAGTCCTTTTTGGTTATCAAGTAACGGAGTGCCGTGTGATCGGTGTGCACAATCACTTTGGAACCCATGAGATATGGCCTGAACTTTTCCATGGCGAAGACAATGGCTAATAACTCTTTCTCGATCACCGTATAATTGACTTGGGCGTCATTCATCATTTTGCTTGCATAATAGACCGGATGAAATATCTTGTTGACCATTTGCCCCAAAACTCCTCCTACCGCAATGTCACTAGCATCACACATGAGCTCAAATGGTAAGCTCCAATTGGGTGCGGTAATGATGGGAGTGGTTGTCAATTTATACCTGAGAATCTCAAAAGCTTTCATGCAATCTTCATTGAACACAAACATTGCATCCTTTTCTCGCAGGTTGCACAAGGGGTTCACCACTTTTGAGAAATCCTTGATGAACCTTCAGTAGAACCCTGCGTGCCCAAGAAAGCTCCTAACTCCCTTGACGGAAGTAGGAGGAGGGAGTTTTGAAATAACTTCAATCTTTGCGTTTTCCACTTCAATACCGTTCTTTGAGATCTTATGGCCGAGGACAATGCCCTCCTCGACCATAAAGAGGCATTTTTCCCAATTAAGCACTAGGTTGGTCTCTTCACATCGGGCCAATACTTTGTCAAGATTATCCAAGCATTCTTCAAATGAGTCCCCCACAACACTAAAATCATCCATGAACACTTCGAGGAAGTCCTCCACCATATCTGTAAATATTGCCATCATACACCGCTGAAAGGTAGCCGGTGCATTACACAAACCAAATGGCATCCATGAGAATGCAAATGTTCCATACGGACATGTGAAGGTGGTTTTCTCTCGGTCTTTCGGTGCAATGAGAATCTGGTTGTACCCTGAGTACCCATCCCAATAGAAGGCACGTCCGGCAAGTCTGTCAAATGTTTGATCAAGAAAGGGCAATGGAAAGTGGTCTTTGCAGGTCACTTTGTTCAGCTTTCTGTAGTCCATACATACCCTCCATCTGGTGATAGTACGAGTGGGGATCAATTCATTTTTCTCATTTGTGACCACAGTCATACCCCCTTCTTCGGCACACAGTGTACCGGTGAAGTCCATGAACTATCCGAAATAGGGTACACAACCCCTGCATCAAGCCACTTGATAATTTCCTTCTTGACGACCTCTTGCATAGCCTCGTTCAACGTCCTTTGATGTTCCACGGAGGGTTTGGAATCATCCTCTAGTATAATTTTGTGCATGCAAAAGGCGGGAGCCAAAGTCCATCCAATTGCCTTCTTCCTTCTTTGAAGCACCGCAAGGGTGGAGTCTACCTGCACGTTAGTTAGGCAAGCAGAAAGAATAACAGGTAGTGTGGAAGAAGGGCCTAAGAATTCATACCTGAGGTGTGAAGGCAAAGGCTTCAACTCCAATATTGGTGGCTCCTCGATTGAGGTCTTTGTTGGTGGAGTCTTCCGGTTTTCCAAGTCCAAGGAAAGTTTACGGGGCCCATATGAGTAGGATCCCATTTCTTGCAACGCATTTGCACATTCAACCAAGCCTTCCTTTTCATCATCCTCATGGTTTAACAACACAACTTCCAAAGGGTCTTCCACATTGATCATGGCACTCGTGTCATCAACTCTCACCTCCGTCACAAGATCCACAAAAGAGCAAACTTCATTGCTATTTGGTTTCCTCATTGATTTGCACACGTGGAATACAACTTTTTCATTGCCCACTCGGAAGGTGAGCTCCCCTGCTTCCACATCAACCAATGCCTTCCCTGTTGCTAGGAAAGGTCTCCCCAACATTATAGGCGCCTCATAGTCGACTTTGCAGTCGAGAATCACAAAATCAGCAGGCAAAATAAACTTGTCGACCCAGACTAGAACACCATCAATAATAACAAGCGGCTTTTTCATTGTCCGATCCGCCATTTGTAATCTCATGGAAGTAGCTCTTTGTTGCCCAATACATAGTGTCTTGAACACGGAATATGGCATCAAATTAATACTTGCTCCCAAATCACACAAGGCTTTTGCAAAATCGGCGCTACCAATGGTGCATGGAATTGTAAAGGCACCGGGATCTTCAAGCTTTGGAGCAGTTGAGTGCACAATAGCACTCACTTGATGAGTCATTTTGATGGTCTCACAATTCATAGATCTCTTCTTAGTTACCAAGTCCTTCGTGAACTTGGCATATCCCGGCATTTGTTCGAGAGCTTCCACCAAGGGCACATTGATTGACAAAATTTTCATCATATCAATAAACTTCTTGAATTGGTTTTCATTATTTTGCTTTGCAAGCCTTTAAGGATATGGTGGAGGAGGCCTTGGCAAAGGGGCCTTGGCTTTAGGCACTACTGTTTCCGGTATGTCTATCACGTGTTCCCTAGACGGGTTCACATCACTTTGAGTCTCCTCCATGTTTTCATCAATATCAATCCTCACTTCATCATTCACATTCTCATCA